GAGCCACCGATCGATATGGTCAGTCAAAACTTACAACATAGATAAAGTAGACATCAAAGCCTGACGAGCCGAACTTGTACTACTTGAAAGATGGGCCAGGAGAGATTTCATTAGGAGAGGAATTATTGATCATACCGTGCGGCACAATGTTGCCACCCAAGCAAAATTAACACTTACCAAGTAATCCCAATAGTATCCTGTAACCAACTGTTTCCTGTCAACACGACATAGGGTAATCACAATAGTGCCATGTGATCAGGAAAGTGCTAGTTCGCGGTCATAGCGACACAATAGTGCCACGTGGGGTCGGGAAGTTAACTGGGGGTTCAAAAGTAGTAGATACAATGGTGGCGAGATCTAAGGACCTAACAAAAGCTTTATTTCTGAAATAAAGCTTTGCAGAGGCTTTGTTGGACTTGATCTCCGGACTGTCATTATATCTACTACTTCTAACAGACCTTCATTCACGTCTACTCAGAGATCTGTGCGTCAATCTGATGAACAACATGTGTCTTTCGTCCCAGCAGCGTTCACTCGTAGAACTCATAGATCTACCCCTGTTGATGTCGATTGGTCTCTCATGACCCAGGTGTGCTCTTTCAAGGATCTGGGCAAGAGGACCTCACCTGCAGAGAACAGATCGGAGGACACTAGACCCAAGGATTACGCCTCAGCTGTGAGTCAAAAAGTCTGTTGATGACGAGATGAGATCGGTCTCTAGGGACGCCTCACAAGGGCAGATAACTCTTACGTGGATACGCCACAGGGCAGTGCACACAATGTTAAATGCTGGGTCGCTGGACGCCGACACAGGGCAGGCGGAAAACTCTCAGGCAAACATCACTGATAAGAAAATAGTGGGGGAGGCCACGGACAGTCTTGTTCTAATGTGTGTTCTTCCAACATTAAAATAGGAACTTGGAATGTTTCTGGACTTATATCTAAACTTATTTTTCCTGACTTCAAATCCTACTTGTGTTAATTTGTTATATTTCTTTTAGAAACATGGATAGGTAACGGCGACTTTGATATTGGATTAACTGAATATACACATTTTGACAAAGTTGGTGTAAAAATGGCACGTTCAGGTAGGTACATGGGTTGCATCTGTTTGTTAATCAAAAAACACTATCCTCAAACATGTAATATTACTCAACTGTAAATATGATATTTTTTATGTTCTTTAAAATTTCAAAGGAAGTATTTCCTATGAATTGTGATGTTATCTTAGGTGGAATTTACATACCGCCTCAATCATCACCTGCATTTAATGTACCAGGAAGTCGGTATGGAGGGTATGAGGAACTAGATCAAGAAGTGTTTGAACTCAGCAATCGATATCAAAATTGTGAAATAATGTTGATTATTTTATTATTTCCCCAAATATGATTGAAAGCATTGCAGATTTTACTATCGATGAACGAACAGAATCTGACCACCTCCCTCTGTCTTTAACATAAGCATCAGAGGGATATGCCAGTGAGGTTGGTGATCCATGTGTAGCCCCGGAGTTGTATAAATATAGATGGTGTGTATCAGCTAAAGATATTTTTATAAAATCATTAAGTGAAAATGTTGAAATCTATGGAGGAGATATTCTAGAAAATATTAGAGATGTGAATATTAACCAAGCCGTTAGTTCATTGAATGATTTAATTCTGAATTCTGCTCAGTTAATGAAACGGCGGATACAACAGAGAGTGGTTAAACAACCTGTTTGGTTTGATAACGATTGCCATAAAGCCAAGAGACAAAAATATGCTAATCTTAAGAAGTTTAGGAGAACGCATGATGATAATGATTTAAGCAGGTATTTAGATAGTAAAAGAAATTATAGATCCATTTGCCAACAAAAGCAAATCCAGAGGGACACAGCATCCATGGATAACTTGATGGAAAATCTTAATGAGCCAAATCGTTTCTGGAAAGCAGTAAAGGACATATTAAACAGTCGAAAAACTACCACACATAAAAATAACATATCCATAGATACATGGAAGGAACACTTTTGTAAATTGTTCAATGATGGAATCGAGAATACTTCCACTCCACTGGAGACGGACGATAGTAGTGATTATAATGATATTGATGAAGTTTCGAATATGATTTTATACAATGAAATAACTGAGGCAGAAATAACTAAGGCTATCAATGGTTTGAAGAGGAATAAGTCAGCTTGTCATGATAAATTAATTGCTGAACTTTTTTTCATACATGGTGCTGGTGTCTTAACCCCAACTCCGTAAGCTATTATTCAACAAGAGATTTTGACACGGGATGCATACCATATGAATGGTCAAAAGTCTAATATTATTCCATTACATAAGAGTGGACCGTCAAATGATCCAAACAACTATCGAGGATATCACTTTGTAAGCATATTTAGCAAAAATATTTACTTCAATCATATGTAACAGACTAAGAATGTGGACAGAGATATTTGATAAAATTGTTGAATCACAAGGTGGATTTAGACGTGAGTATTCTACTATTGACAACATATTTATTTTGATTGCATTGATAGAGAAACAAATAACGAAGAAAAGAGGGAAATTATATGCAGCGTTCAAAGACTTTAAGAAGGCTTTTGATACGGTAAGGAGACCAAAACTGTGGAAATTATTCAATCGCATCGGAATAAAAGGCAAGTTATTTCAAATAATACATAATCTGTATAATGATGTCTCTGCTTCTGTAAGAAATAACAGCACGTATTCAGAATTCTTCTAATGTCATGTCGGTTTAAAACAGGGATACATTATGAGCCCTTTGATATTTTCAATATACATAAACGAATTAGCAACTAGTATTGAATGTTCAGACTGCTATGGGCTACAACTTATGCCTGATCTTGTACATATATATTTACTTCTTTGCTGACGACATTGTGCTGTTTTCTAATGTGGGTAAGGACCTCCAAAAACAGTTAAACATTCTTTCTTCATTTTCGATCGAATTTGGATTGAAAGTTAATATGGCAAAATCAAATATAATGGTATTCAGAAAGGAGGTGTGTTAGGTACAAATGAGAAATGGAACTTTAAAGGAGTCGAGTTAAAAGTTGTGAATAATTATAAATACCTTGGTATATATTTCACTCCTCAGTTACCATGGAAATATGCTATTAGTAGAAGAGCCCAGGAAGGAAGCGAGCTTTAAATAGTGTTCTACAGACATTGAATATGAACTGCACTATAAATAGCAAGAGATTCTTCCATATTTTTTTATACCAAAATATTACCAATCCTAACATACGGATGTGAAATTTAGGGATATAAGCAATACGATGAACTAGAAAAGAATTCAGTTAACAGCTTGTAAGAGATATTTACAACTGGCAGTTAAGACACCAAATTATGCTGTCCTTGGTGAATGTGGCCGCTTCCCTCTATTTGTTAACACTTTAGTAAGAGTCATTAAATACTGGCTTAAAATAAACAGGATGCCTGACCATAGATATGCCCCAAAATGTTACAGAATGTCACTTTATGATACTAACGGAAAGGTAAACTGGGCTACCAAGGTAAGAAACATTTTATGCTCTAATGGATTTATGTATGTATGGGTAAATCAAGGTGCAAAACATAAACTTATTTCTCCAGGAATTCAAACAAAGAATGAAAGATGTATTCATATCAGAGTGCTTTAATTCAATAAATACTACATCTAAACTACATAGATACAAATTGTTTAAGCATAAATTTGAAACTGAAGAGTATATCAATTCAATACAAATAAATTAATTCAGGAGTATTTTGGCAAACTTTCGTTGCGGTACACTCCCACTAGAAATAGAAATTGGTAGGATGAACGGTATCAAGCGAAAAAACAGACTGTGTAAATTATGTAAATCGGGAGATATAGAGGATGAATACCATTTTCTTTTGGGTTGCCGATATCACTTTCACACATTAGAAAACAATATATCGATGTCGGGACGATTTCTATAGATCTGTTTATTTACCTAATGTCAAATAAAAATGAAAGCATTATTAGAAATGTATCAATGTATTTACATCGTGCAATGAATTTGAGAACTTCTATATTATCCCCGCAGATATGAATCATTGCACCAATATGTTACTACACATATGAATATGCATATTTTACGCATGCGCATTAGGCTGTTATATTGTATATGCATTCTATGTTGTAATGGGCCGTTGGCCTGAATATCAACTGAAATAAATAAAGTGAGTAATCGTTCGGATTATTATTAGTAGTAGCAGTAGTAGTATTATTTATTATTCCGCCGATTTTTGTACCAAACATAACTCCTAAACCAATGCTCCGAATCCCTTACCAAAAATCACACAGATGCGCACCGAGGTGTACATATTCCCATTAAATATCTCTAGGCTCTTGGCCCAATAGCAAAGGGGAGATAATTCAAAATTATTTCCACAATTTCAACGTTTGACAGCAAATATCTCAAGAACTAATTGTTCCAACACTTCCAAATTTTCTTGTGCAGATGCACAATCGAATTCCCAACAATTTTGCCCGGACGGGTCAAGTCGCTAAAACGTACCGTTTGGCAGTTATTTTTGTTTTCAGTTTTTGGCCATGTTTTTCAGCAGTTTTCTGAGTAGTTTGCACACAAAGTAGTATGCCAGTATGGTAGACGATGTCTTGGTGATTCCAGAACACTAATTGTTTTGACCGTAGACCCAAGAACAACTGAGATACAGCCTTTCAAAGAGGGAACTCTTTCTTCTGCGGAACTTCTTAAAAGGTACATCACCCCCGCGACCCCGGCTGTATTTGGGAGATCCGCTCGCCTGTTAAAACACGAGTTCTGGCTCCGTTTTGGACGATGATATCTAGCCCTCAGATACAATAGATAGAAAGTAAAGGCAAGGAGACCTCATCGTTGCCTGCAACTATATTTTTATTTATGTTTTGTTGCTAAATGATGTACTTCAATTTCTTTTTGATTAAAATGAGTCCTGATTTATATTTCAGAACGTCCGTAGAAAGTTATTCAATCATAACGTTGTGCTCCAGACATCGCCTTCTTTCTGCTTCTGTCCAACATGACTGTTCTCTTGTTGCTCTGTCTGTGAGAATTAAAAAAGATATAAATTCATTTTATTTAGATTCTACACGTTTCATCACGAATGATGAGTGACAAATATTCACAAAACTGTCAATGCATTCTTATGACACACGACTAAACGTGCATGAACATCATCCTGTTTTTGCATACTGTTATTCATTTATAAACACATAGGCGGATCCGGGGGGGGGGGTGTGCAGGGCTGCGCACACACACACCCACCCACCCCCCTTTTGTGCTGAAAGTTTGTTCAATGACCATTGAAACTCGGGTAAAAATGAAGTGTGCACCCCTCCTTTTCTCAATAGTATGCACCCCCTTTCTCAAAAACCTGTATCCGCCCCTGAAACACCCCTTTGTAGAGATGAGGTTGCATGACATTATTACTTACATTAATGCATCAGAACATCTTCCTTAAATGCCGTTAATATGTGAAGGCGTGTCTGAACAATATAAACAAAACTGACTTCAACTACATTTGCTTTTTTTATCTTCAACCACGTTTTAGCAAAATGTTCAATTATCCCATTTATGCTAAACTTTATGAACAAAATATTTCCAGAGAATAAGCGCAATAGTCTACTCAGGCCCAAACTAGATCAGCGTGACGCATAGGCCCCCACTGCGGGTTAGAAAGTCGATAAACTAGGCCCCGGTTTAGTATTCACATCCCCGGTTTAGTGTCCATATCTCCGATGTATGTAGGAGGCATGTACATGCGCTTGGGTATGCATTTGATGTTTTTTATTAAATCGCCAAAGACCGAGTTGCTGTGCCGGAAGTATACAAAACTAGGACGTCAGCGCTTGACTTCACTACCTCCGGCGATCTGATTGGCTCTAATACATTACACTGAATGAATGTGTGGGGTTTTTTAAAATATTTTTATTCGTTTTTAAAATTATTCTTACCAAGATAAAACATCAGATCGTGACATCTTGAATGAAAGACGTTTGAGTTTCCCTCTCATATTCCCACGTGCATTTGTTGTCATTTTATTAACCAATTGATTGCGCTGACGACCTAGTTTTGTACACTTCCGGCACAGCAACTTGGTCTTTGGCGATTAAATAAAACCCATCAAATGCATCCCCACGGAAAACGCACGTACATGCCTCCTACATACATCGGAGATATGGACAAAAGCTTTTGATACTTGTGAGACCTTTAAAATACGATATATTCATTGACATGTGAGAAATAGCCGGTTTTCGATCATGTCACCGTATTTCTGTGATGAACCTTTACATATTATATAGTAGAGGGTGTGGATATTAAACCGGGCCTATTTTTACCCGCAGTGGGGGCCTCTGGCGTGACGGGCGGTTGCTTTAACGATTAGGCTACCCCGCTTGAGATGCAGGCATTATTTCACACCTTGTCAAACAAATTTCAGATTCGAACTAGAAATATAACTGAAAAACCCACACAAAAAAGAAAGAATTTGAAAAGAACCCAGAACGCCAAATATGACACAATATAAACAGTTCCTTATAAACACAGAAAGACGGCCATAACCTTCTCGAAAGACAATCCCTTGTCGAAAGTGGAGTAACGTCTGTCAAAAACCTGTCATGCATTTCAGAATTTAAATATAACATAACAACCGAACAAGAGATCGAGAATGTAAAGAACTACATCACCAAATGTGACATGCAATAAATAATTGTATACAAAAAAAAATAAATATAGAAATGTAATGTACTTTCTATCCATTTACACAATAATTCCGTGGTTCAATTACCTATAAGTCCAAGAGAAGACTTAAAAAAGGAAGACAAATTTATGAAAATGTCATATCAACAAACACATATTTAATAGAAAAGGTATTTTTGCTTTAATGCATGATTCGTTTACAAGTTACACGTTCATATCTTTTACTATTGGTTAACTCATATGCCACGATCATCAACTCCGTTGAAGCCCCGTTGAATAAGCGATCCTTGTTATCCTTTTATCATGGTGACAATTTTATGATTATTAACACTGAACCACTAACAACTTAACGTGAATGTGTAAAGTATATTTACCAAGAATTAATTGTCAGTAAAATTAAACTGACGTACAAAAGAAAGTACACACCTGATGCTTTGGTAAAATCACAAGTCACAAACATTATGTACGTGTTGCAATAACACCAAAGCTATCGTACCCAATAGCAACATTGCTAGCAAAATATTTACGTTTTTGTCATAGTCTCAAAACACCGGGTGTGTACTTTCTTTTGTACATCAGTATAGAAATAAATGGCTTTCAAATACAAGTACTTAATAAATCACCATGTTCCCACTTTTAAGAGAACCTTCACAACTAGAATACGAATGTTTATGGAAGAACACATTTTTAGCATCCCATATTTCCTTCATAAGTTATCCTATGCAGTCGCTGCATCTAGTCTATTTGCAGCTTGAACACGAACATCTGCAATCTTATAACTAGAACTGGAGAGGTTTCTTTCAGGACAGAATATTAGATTCCTATTTTTTTAACATTCACTCCCCGTGATACATACTTTCTCCGAGTTCTTGATTCTCCACAATGGTCGTACAAAGGGAAACAGGAACCTCTCATCCTTGATGCGCGGGTACATCCTGCCTGGAACAGTCACAGAAACAACAAAAATGGTGAGTTAACATTTACGTTGAATTGGCGTTATGTCAGCCATATAGCGACAAACAATAGAACATTTAGTGCCTTAACGTTTTAAGTCGAATTGGCCTTTTTCAATCTTATAGCGACAAACAATAGAAGATCTAGTTAACATTTAATATTTTAACGTTGGATCGGCATTGTTTCACCAATTAGAGACAAACAGTGGAAGAATGAATTAACATTTAATGTCGAATTGGCGTTATTTCAGCCGTATAGCGACAAACAGTAGAAAAGTTAGTTAACATTTAATGTCGAATTGGCGTTATTTAAGCCGTATAGCGACAAACAATAGAAGAGTTAGTTAACATTTAATGTCGAATTGGCGTTATTTCAGCCGTATAGCGACAAACAATAGAAGAATTAGTTAACATTTAATGTCGAATTGGCGTTATTTAAGACGTATAGCGACAAACAATAGAAGAATTAGTTAACATTTAATGTCGAATTGGCGTTATTTAAGCGTATAGCGACAAACAATAGAAGAATTAGTTAACATTTAATGTCGAATTGGCGTTATTTCAGCCGTATAGCGACAAACAATAGAAGAATTAGTTAACATTTAATGTCGAATTGGCGTTATTTCAGCCGTATAGCGACAAACAATAGAAGAATTAGTTAACATTTAATGTCGAATTGGCGTTATTTCAGCCGTATAGCGACAAACAATAGAAGAATTAGTTAACATTTAATGTCGAATTGGCGTTATTTCAGCCGTATAGCGACAAACAATAGAAGAATTAGTTAACATTTAATGTCGAATTGGCGTTATTTAAGCCGTATAGCGACAAACAATAGAAGAATTAGTTAACATTTAATGTCGAATTGGCGTTATTTCAGCCGTATAGCGACAAACAATAGAAGAATTAGTTAACATTTAATGTCGAATTGGCGTTATTTCAGCCGTATAGTGACACACAGTAGAAGAGTTAGTTAACATTTAATGTCGAATGGGCATTATTTTATAGCGACAAACAATAAAAGAATTAGTTAACATTTAATGTCGAATTATTTAGCGACAAACAATAGAAGAATTAGTTAACATTTAATGTCGAATTGGCGTTATTTCAGCGTATAGCGACAAACAATAGAAGAATTAGTTAACATTTAATGTCGAATTGGCGTTATTTCAGCCCTATAGCGACAAACAATAGAAGAATTAGTTAACAATTAATGTCGAATTGGCGTTATTTCAGCGGTATAGCGACAAACAATAGAAGAATAAGTTAACATTTAATGTCGAATTGGCGTTATTTCAGCCCTATAGCGACAAACAGTAGAAGAGTTAGTTAACATTTAACCTCGAATTTCAGCCAGTAAGTGACAAACAATAGTGCAGTGCATGTGTACTCAGATAATTATATCAGTGAACATTATCAGGTCAGGGTTAGGACTAGGTTTAACCCTTGCCTCTGATTCATGTATGCATTTAGAATATGTTGTCATCTTTCCGCATCTGATACTTACATATTAGTATGCGTATACAGTGAGACCTCGGATACCCGGACCCCAGATATCTGGAAACCTCGCCTTCCGGTCAATTTTCAGAAAAAAACATTCTCTTACGTTATAAAAGTGACTGTCTATAACGGATATGCTACATTGGGAGCGGTGGGGTAGCCAAGTGGTTAAAGCGTTGGATCGTCACGCTGAAGACCCGGGTTCGATTCCCCACATAGGTACAATGTGTGAAGCCCATTTCTGGTGTCCCCCGCCGAGATATTGATGGAATATTGCTAAAAGCGGCGTAAAACCATACTCACTTACTCACTATAAGCTACATTAGACATGTGAGTGAGTTTGATTCAAAGCCCCCTTGAAGGCTTTCTATAACAATGTCTGATGGCGTGGGAGGAAATCTTTTTTCACAAGTGATGTACATGCAGGTCGTACACAGTTATCACTTTGGTGCATTACAGGAGCATCGATGGCAACGGATCAAAACGGATAAAACAGCTTCTGCAACATGCAACTCTATACAGAGAATTGGTGTACCATGGAGTTTCTTCCACACAAGATGTAGATACTGTTCGAATCTATGTTGACAGGTACCCGTGAAGATCCGGGTTAGAATCGGTCTTCAGCAACCCGTGCTTGTCGTAAGAGGTGGGGTCAGGCTCGCTGACTTGGTTGACACATGTAAAGGAGTGCTTGGAGTGCTGCGTTGAACAACAAATAAACAAACAAACTATGTTGACAGATGCCAACGCTACCGTATCTATACTCTAGGACTTACATGTCACAAGGCTAACAATCGATCCCACAAACACGGCTATCAACCATCCAATCAGCCCATAATCTTGGTAAGAGATATCGAACACACTGCCTTTAGGGTCGGCGGTGGTGACGTCGCTACAGAAAAGAAACAGAATTGTGGAAAAAATACAATTATCTGTACTCTCATATGACTTAAGTATTACTTACTAACTGAAAATTGGTTTCCTTATGTTCGAAAGTTCTTGGGGGCGGTGGGGTAGCCTAGTGGTTAAAGCGTTGGCTCGTCACGCCGAAGACCCGGTTCGAATCCCCACATGGGTACAATGTGTGAAGCCCATTTCTGGTGTCCCCCGCCATGATGTTGCTGGAATATTGCTAAAAGCGGCGTAAAACCAAACTCAGTCAGTCAGTCAGTCGAAAGTTCTTACATGAACTGAAGAGGATCAGGTGCCGATGAGCTAAAACATTCAATATGTAATTCAGAAAGCTTCTTTGAATATTAGCTCAAGATCACTCTCGGAATGTCCCTCGATTTCATCTAATGGCTGGAATGCGAGATGATACGGCACATCATTGTTTACTCCACTCTAGTTCACGAGACTACCGTACGACACAAAAATAAGGGCCCACCGCTGCCTTGTGTGTGTGTGTGTGCGTGTGCGTGCGTGCGTGTGTGTTATTCACTATGTGTTTATGCAGAATGATAGCGAAACGATCAAGGTTGCATTTATAAAGCGACATGTATGCACCGGAGCGTATGTGAATTTGTGTGTGCGTGCCTTTCGCAGTGGTTTGGGTATATTTACGACCGCTTCAAATACTGTCGGGGCATTCCATACCAAACCGGCAAGGGGTGCAGCAAAACAGCGGAACACGCAGTACGGTATCCAGCCTGGTTCTCTGGGTCTGTTGCGCCTGCGCTAACGCTCAGTGTCGGAGCGTTAGCGCAGGCGCAACAAACCCAGGGAACCAGGCTGTACGGAATCTTCTCGAAAATAGTAAAATAGTACGCACTGCCTTTACACCGCGTCATTTTAGCATTTTTTCGAAACACCAAGACATTGTCGTGAGCACTTAACGCTGGATTACCCGTGTGAACAAATCCGTTACGAGTACTCAATTGCACAAAGTCCTCATGTCGCTACATTGTACGGTTATCAAAAAATGTTCTTGGCCTAGTATTTGTGATCTGCTTCATTAACGTTACTCAAAATCTCTTTCAAAATATTTTCGATTTATTTTGGCGAAACTGCGTATAAAGTTATCGGCACATCGCTCCAACATTGTTATTGGTCAGATTACCTCTATGAAGGAAATGAACTTTTGTGTATTTCATACATCATTAACGCCGCCCTTCTACTCCTTATAAGTGTATTCATTGTTTAAGCGATCACGACAGCAGTAGCCTCGACGGTGATTGGTCAAATTGTTCCATACCTAAAAATACCCACCAATGACTAAGTAGCATGCTCAGGGTCATATTCAAATACATACCAAAAGCTGAAGTTATAATAATACGATATTGGAATATATTATGCCTGGAAGAATAACAGTTTCAGTAATTTAAAAAAAATGTTGCAGTTCTTCCGATCATAGTATCAAAACTCATTAATGTCTGACTTTTGTGTATGGAATATACACGGACTCCTGTCGAAGTTAGACGATGGAGACTTTATTTCTTTTGTAGAAACATTTAAGCTATTTTGTTTGGTTGAAACCATGGTTCACGATGCAGACAAGTTAAAAGACCTGTTCTCCAATTATTGCTGTTTCGCAACACCTGCCAAAAGGTTTAGTCAGTATGGCCGTTTTTCGGGTGGGGTAGCAATGTATGTGCATAAGAGCTTGCAGCACATCTGTACACGATTGTATCAAGAGTTTGATAATGTTGTTGTGCTGAAGCTGACATTTGCAGTTAGACAGTTGATACTATTTGGCTTATACATCCCACCGGAATATAGTCAGGTATATGATAAACAGGAGGATGACGGTATTGATTATCTAGAAAACAAACTATCAGTGGTTGCAGCAGATTTTGATTTGGGAAAACATGACGTTCTATTGATGGGGAGATTTTAACGCCCGAACCGGGCTACTTGATGATTTTATCTTGGAGGATGAGGATGATATCCGATTTCTTAATCTCGGTTCCCTGTACCATGTGGATTCATTCTGTCAGCCAAGGAGTTCGATGGATGAAAAAGTTAATAGGTTCGGAAAATCTTTAGCATCACTGTGTAAAGCTTGGGGTCTTCACATTGTTAATGGAAGAAAGCCAGCGGATAGTGATGGTTCTTTTACTTTCATTGGGAATAATGGTACTAGTCTAGTAGACTATTTTCTTGCATCAGCTAGTCTGTTTTCGTTAATAACGGATATGAGAGTACATTCTTCTACAGTGTCTGATCATTTACCTATATCATGCAGTTTGAACTACGAATCTACGTCTACGTATACTACGGCTTCAACTAATATTCCATCTTTTGATGTACCAAAGAGTATGGGAAACATCTCTTTAGTGCTAATTTTGAAAATATCAGAGCTAAAGAGCTAGTATCGGAGTTTACATCTCTTCTTGAAAAAACTGATGTTAATGGTGCGGTTGAAAAATTATGTCAGCTTTTCTACTTTGCTGGGGAGCACTTTAAATCCAACAGGGGGGTTGCTATGAAATCTATGAAAAAAACAACCGATTTGGTTTGATAAAGAATGTTCTTCTTTAAAACGTAAAAAGTATAGCACTTTAGAAAAGCTACGCATGAACAGAAACAGAGTCAATATCAATAAATACTTGGAGGCCAAACGTATGTTCCGGCGCATATGTAACGAAAAAAAGGAAACATTCATTGCCGAAGCTTTAAATAACTTGTCAATAGCTGTAAATAATAAAGACTGCAGAAACTTTTGGAAACAATTGAAACGTCTCCTTGCTAGTAAACGTGATGAAAATGATATAACACCAAGTGAATGGTTTGTATACTTTAAAGATCTTTTAAATCCTTCTGATAGTCAAACTGAATTTGATCACGATGTTGCACATTTTCTTGAAAATCATGATAGTTTTCCATGTGAAAAATGCCTGAACATTGATATGTTATCAGATACCATCAGCCATGAGGAAATTATTAAAGCGATCTCTGATATTAAATCGGGCAAGTCACCAGGAATAGATGGCCTTCCGCCAGAATTCATGAAGAATGCACCTTCCCTTACTGATCATTTCTATGCATTGTTTAATGTCATTTTAGATTCAGGAGTATTTCCCTCTGTTTGGAATGTTGGTTTACTGGTACCTATCTATAAACAAGGAAATATGTCTGATCCCAACAACTATCGGGGAATATCCATGTTAAGTGTCATTGGTAAAATTTTCACTTATGTTCTTGAAAAAAGACTGCGTAGCTGGGCCGAGTTTAATGCTTTACTTAATGAAGGGCAAGGAGGCTTTAGAAATGATTATTCTACCATAGATAATATGTTCTCACTCCATTCTTTAGTTCATAAGTACCTGCGTAAAGCAAAACATCGTTTTTATGTAGCTTTCATCGATTTCCGCAAGGCCTTCGATCTTATTGATAGAAAAAAATGTTATATATTCTACTTGAAAAGGGTGTACACGGCAAGATGTATAAAATCATTGAGAACATGTACTCAAATGTATGTGCCTCCGTTCGTTCTGGTAAATCTAGAACAGATTTCTTTTCAACCAATAATGGTGTTCGTCAGGGCTGCATGCTCAGTCCGCTACTATTCATCCTATTCATCAATAAACTTGCAGACGATCTCCATCATGGCAATACTCGTGGAATTTATGTAAATGAATACATAGAAGCTATTAAGATATTACTGTTCGCGGATGACGTTGCACTACTAGGAGATAGCATTGTTGATTTACAAAGAAAATTAGACATTCTTGAAGATTTTTGTAACACGTGGGGCTTTGAAGTAAATCTGGATAAATCTAAGGTGGTTGTTTTTCGAAACGGAGGACGCGTTAAGAGAAATGAAAAATGGTTTTTTAAAGGTCTACCTGTAGAGGCCACCCCCTTATTATAAATATTTAGGAATTGTATTTTCATCTCGTTTAGTTTGGTCCAAAGCATGTGAAACGCTATCTTTACAAGCCAAACGTGCATGTTTCCCTCTGTTTCAACTGTTCACCAAGTATCAAAGTATGTCTTTAACTATTGCTAATAATATATTTGTCAGTAAAATACTACCAATTCTAACCTATGGAAGTGAAATTTGGGGCTATACTTATAGAACGTGTATTGAAAAGGTTCATAGTGAGTACTATAAAAGATTTCTGTTACTCAGTAAAAAAACTGCATCATGTGCTGTACTTGGAGAAATTGGCAGATATAACTTGTGTGTACATTACCATTCAAGGTGTATTGAAATTGGTGCCGAATTATTCGTATGGACCAAAATAGATACCCGAATGCCTGTTATAAGATGATGAAAGCCTATGATGATAACGGAGGCACAAACTGGGTTTCACATGTTCGAATGCTTCTTTTTACTACAGGTTTCTCTTATGTCTGGTTAGCCCAAGATTGTGGCGATGCAAATCACTTCATGTTTGAGTTCAAACAACGCTGTATAGATATTAATATACAACACTGGAATAGTAAAATAAAAAAACTCATCATTTCTTGTAAATTATAGTACATTTAAGTCACTTCTTGAACCTGAACTGTATATTTCCTGTGGCGCATTAAACAAAGATCTTATGCGAATGTTGATCAAATTCCGATGCCAATCACATAACTTGAATATACAAAAACAACGTTTTTCAAAGATAATTGTCCCATATAAAGAATTAGTTTGTAACAAATGTACTTTAAACGTGCTTGAAGACGAATATCACTTGTTGCTAATATGTCCATTTTATAACCGATGCAGATCCCAATGTATTCCAGCCTATTTCTACAGCCCACCTTCAATTGTCAAATTCCGAGCCCTTATGAAGATACACAGTGTCACTGTTCTTAAAGGAATATGTATATTCCTGAAGCAAAACCTACGTTAAAATAATTGTATTATGAATTATATTTCAACTCTACACACCATGACAATGTTGTATTACCTGTTGTACTCTTGGCCACATGGCCTTCAATTCTGAATAAAGTGAAGTGAAGTAATGCAGTATCATAAATTTGATTTTAAGTTCAAACAACTTACTCGCAAAGGGCTGTTGACCCAACACTGTTAGATCATGAAACAAGGTTTATGACGTCATTATGGATCGTGACGTCACCTGCTATGACGTCATTTGACAACAGAACTGATAATGTCCCGTAGTTGAGGAATCAGCGGGCCGCTCATTTCTGTAACTAGAGGGCGGTTTCCTCATAATACCGTCCATTTTATCTATAATACTATGATCTATTCATCATTGTCAAATTTAGTCTGTCTGCACATAATAAACGTGTGTAGTTTGAAAAGGGAACTACTTTCTCTGGCGATGGTGTAAGTTGAAGGAGTGATATGATTAACCTTTGACCTAGAGGAACTTTGACCTGGTTTAAATAATGAATTTCTTTCACGAAAAAAACAGCGTAAAACGATTTGAATTAGAATGGGGATAACTGTACTGTGTTTGACGAATGGGGACGTATACCGGTGGTTATATAGCCGCAAATTTAACGTTATACGTCCCCAATTCGTCAAACACAGCACAGTTATCCCCTAATTGACGAAGCTTGTTATCAACTGCTTTGGACAATGTCATCTTTGCGGTAGTGACCATACCTTACCTTGACGACAAGGTGCTTGTGATGGTTGGTGTTGTCGTCGTGTATGGTGAAGTCATGTTACCGGAAATGAGGATGTCACATGAGTTTCCAGGGGCTGGGGGTAGCTTCACGGGTGGGTGGCCGTACAATGTTGCCCCGACAGTCAACCATATATTCAGGGCTAGGGCCACGAGCACTCCCAACAATGGCTCCCTGAATGTAGGTTATGAATATGTGTTACTTACAGCAATAACAAGCCCTCAAAGGTGGTTGGTTGGTTGGTTTGTTGTTTAACGCCGCACTCAGCAATATTCCAGCTATATAGCGGCGGTCTGTAAATAATCGAGTTTGAACCAGACAAGCAAGAGATCAACAGCATGATCATCGATCTACCCAAGTGGGATACGATGACATGTGTCATCCATGTCAGCGGGCGTGACCACCCGATCCCGTTTGTCGCCTCTTACGACATGCATGGGTTGCTGAAGACCTATCCCAACTCGGATTTTCACGGGGCTGGGGATAAAGAATATTTTGTTTTTCACATTGATCTAAGGAAAACATACACATTTAAACTATTCATGCTTCTATCACTGCCTGAGTGTTTCCACGGTTTTGGTGTACCTCAGTAATGTTGCCAATGGAAATAGAGTGGTGCTGCTGATTTATGCCATTAGGTTCTTGAATACCCACAAAGTGGAAGGAGAGTATTGAACGTTTTTATGGTTCTGCTCCGGAATGTTGCACTACCACCAATTTCAGTCAAAGTCAAAGTTGTTGCCATTGAAACGCAAAAAACCCATTTAATTCAGAAATCAAAAACCACCAAAAAGGCACCAGTTCACCACCAGACCTATCTATGTGTCAGGTTGGGTGAAGTAACATTGAACGTTTTTTATGTTCTGCTCCGAAAAATACGCATTTGCACGGATGGACGGACGGACGGAGTCCAAAATAATATCCTCCGCACAACGCGTCGCGGGGATAATGACAGTCTTTTCAGTAATCACCTTTAGCTGAATCAAGTTCAGCTGTATTCCAACAGCACTAGCCTTTCTTGACTATATTCCGTCTTCGATTCCCCACATTGGTAAAATGTGTGAAGCCCATTTCTGGTGTCTTCCGCCGTGATATTGCTGGAATATTGCTAAAAGCGGCGTAAAAACCATAATCACTCACTAACTATATTCAGTCATGAGGGAGAATCAGACAAACGTCTTTCTTACTTGAATTTCGAAGATTGCAAAGAAAGTCATTGGTTAATTCGTAAAGTGTTTGATAAATTAATGATTGAAACTCTAATAAAAGGCCGAGCAGTATCCGTTGAGGTAGTGGGTGGGGCTTGAAGTTAACCACTGCTGGTTGTTCAAAATGGCTTGCAATTGATTGTTTGAGATGGATCACTTTTAGAACGCCCTTTGAACCTATACTAGAAAACAAAGCAAAACCACCACAGATTCATGCATGCATTAATATTACGATTAAATTAACGTTACACTCTCAATAAAAACCTTTTCCGAAAATGTTTCAGAACACCATTACAAATTGACAGAAAATTACATGTTTAATTCAAACTTGAATATTTTAAAAGTTACAATAACGAAAAAAGTTTCATCAGATAAATTCAGAGCAAAACATCGTTTTGCTGGCAGATTGCACTTGTTTTCATTCTATACTTAGTCTCCGCATTATTTTGGAACATCGTAATGCATAAAAAGATGACGGTTATTAACAGCATAAAGATAGATTCAGCTAGAAGTCATTACGTATGTGTATCAAACAGTGTACTACTTACAATTTTATTTGTCCATGGGAAGAGCGCGCCAAGGAAATACGTCCCAACTATTGGTCCGCCACAAGCTCCCAACAGGGCTATCGCTGTCTGTGGAAACAAGTTTCAAATAGCATACGTAAGCATTGGGGTTGTTGGTTTGTTGTTTCACACCGCATTCAGCAATATTCGAACTATATGGCGACGGTCTGTAAATAATCGAGTCTGAACCAGACAAGCCAGTGATCAGTAACATGAGCAACGATCTACACAATTGGGAACCGATGACATGTGTCAACCAAGTCAGCGAACCTGACCACCCGATCCCGTTAGTCACCTTTTACGACAAGCACGGGTAACCCGGACCTTCACAATAAGCATACGTTAGTAGGGAAGAAAACAGAGACTTGACAAAAAGCATTGTCATTATATTAGTATGAATATATAGTGTCGTATCATTTGCCTTCGGGCATAAGGGGCAGTAGGGTAGGCTAATGGTTAAAGTCTAAGCTGGTTGCGTTGAAGACCTTGTTCGATTCCCCGCATGGTTAGAAAGTGGAGCTTATTTTTGGTGTCCCCAGCTGTTATATTGCTGGAATATTGCTAAAGAGGGCGTAAACAATATACAAGTTTAACAAATTCAATTAACAACGGATGGAGTAAGACTTACCTGTATGATTGTACCTGACAAATCTTTTAACAGGAAAGCCAAACCTATACAGACGCCACCGTAAAACCACACTGAAAAGTAAATTCTTGTTCAGGCGTTTTCCTTCAAAGACTTTTTAAGGATACCGTATATGACGTCGGATCTCACTGAATTAAACGATCTATACTGAGGGACGAAAGAAACAACACCCCTCAGTTGACTTTAGGACGCGTGTTATTTTCAGCTGAAAATATCTATAGTAACAAATTCAACTGGCTCTCCGTCAACGCTTAAGCATACTGTACATGATTTAAAATTGGTTTGATTTAAAGCTTTACAATTTGCATAATCCACAACTGCGATCGGTAACATTTCGGTGAGAGCCGATAGATTTCGGGACAAATTGTCACTATTTCCAACATGGCCTTCATTTAAGTATTATATATTTCAACACAAAAGTACTCAACCACAGATTACAAGATACAAATAGTTATTGGAATGAGCGATGGTTATATGGACAGGTTTAACAAAAAGTCACATAAATTTCAATTTTCAGTCACATAAAAGACAAACCCTTAGAGCTTTCTTGTTCCTTGTCTTGGTACATTTGTGTAGTGCTACATGGACATATGTGTGACCTGTAACATGCTATATATACTTGGTTCAATATGAATAATTCTTTCCGAGAGCTTTCTTATCACTTGCTTGATAACGGTGTTAGAACCTACACCGAAACGTCGCTCTCATTGTAGTACAGAAGTTGTTCATCCATATATTGTTATCCTTCCTTCCTTCCTTCCTAAACTGGCGCCCTGTTACTGGATTTTTTTATCATTCCAATCCATGTACTTTTATTGTCAGGTTTATGGCCTGACAGGACAAAATATGACAATTGATAATTGCATTTTACCTGCTAGTTTTGCTGTGAGCAGCTTCACTGATTCCGATGTCCCGCACTTCTCAAATGGGCGTTTCAGTATATCTTCTATGGTGTTTGCAGCAAGACCGTTCGTGATTGATGATATTGTACTGACGTGAAAAGAGCATTCATATCAACACATTGTGACAGTCTGGTCAGGTGTGTGGTCAAAAGTTGTATAGTAAAGTCACATTCCGATAAATCCTGCAGTGGCACTTAACCTACAATACGGGATGAGAACTATTAAACCATGTGTGACCGTGGTGCATAAAGAACTCACCACGCACATCGTGCACATTGTGGTATTCGCTTTGACCACTGGACGGTACAGACGAATTGTACAGAGAGGCTAACACATTGGACGTTTTATTCAACTCTGTTTATGAAAAATGATTTGGGCGGACCATAGACGTTTCCCTTCGTTATAGTTGCATCTCGTGTCATTTAGTCTGGACTCGAGACGTTACTGACCACACACTTAGATGTACACACAGCCACTACATGCTTGCATGCACACCCACACACGCACGCACTCACACACACATACATGAATATATACAGATACACACATACGTACAGACATACAGACATACATGTGCATACATACGCACGCACGCACGCGCACACACACACACACACATACACACATACATACATACATACATACATCACGTTATGTACATGTAGATATACAAAGGTACCTGAGCGCACCACTGAAGATTGTTGCCAGATAGATTCCTGACATACCAGGGAAATCTTCAAAGATCTTCATGACAAAATACGGCATCAACTGAAACCAAATGAAACCGATAAGAATATTTAGTTCATTTCCCTTAGAAATGAGCATTACTTTCGCTGTCAGAACAAATAAAAGCAATGAAAAGCGTTGATGAAAAAGGATCTCGTTTTTAGGTTCGCTGACTTGGTTGACACATTTCATCGTATCCCGATTGCGTAGATCGATGCTTATGCTGTTGATCACTGGATTGTCTGGTCCAGACTCACAGATGGAATATTGCTGAGTGTGCCATGAACAGGTGTTTATAAACATTCGGGAATAGTCCATTAATCAGGGGCGTTACGTTGATTATTTAGTTGATAAGTTAAGTTGACAATGAATTCAATTGGTCTGTGTGGTTTGAATGTTTTGAAACATTCAATAGACTCACCTGATTGCTATTTGTTAGTATACCGGCTTTGAAGGGGTCACACCCTATCGTCGCAAAGTAACTGTAAGCTACGATTCCCATAAAGCACACACATATGATGTAGGTACTGACGATGAATATGTTGAGAGCGTACACACTGAAACAGTAGCATAGGTAATCAATCTAACAACGGTCTTAGATATAAGTACCACATATCAGTGAAGAACTGATCATGAATATGGTTTTACGCCGGTGTTGAACACAGGCCTACGGCATAACGAAAGGACGCTTTACACCCAGGCTATCGTCCCAACGGCAACATAGATGACAACACCCCCGAGGGTTTTGTTGTTGTGTTGTTGTGTGGTTTTTGCCTTTAGTTTTTTTGTTTGTTTGTTTGTTTGTTTTAGTTTCCATTTTCCCCTCTTTAGTCTGTGCCCATGAAAAAAACTATTTGAATTTTGTAACTACTTTTGACCAAGACTGGCCACAAGGTGGAGAGTAAAGGGGGTAAATGGCCCTCAAGAATAACAGTAGAGTAAGTGGGGTTTTAGCAATATTCCAGCAATATCACGTCGGGGAACACCATATATGGGCTTCACAGATATTACCCATGTGGGAAATCTAACCCGGGTCTTATGCGTGACGGGCCAACGCCTTAACCACTAGGCTAGCCCCCGAATTACAGTGGGACATGTATATGTGAGTACTGTTGAACTGAATAATGTAAAGTTTATACAGATGACATTACAACCACATGCATCTTGGGTTGTGTATTCCCCAGGAAGTTGAGAATGAGAACTGGAATGCCAACGGAACCATTTTGAGAAACATACAATTCACATTTGAGCAGATACTAGTATTTGGACAAGTGCGGTATAAACATAATGATAATTATACACTCACGTTTTGGCTCCGGACATTTTAGGTATTGCACAGATCCTCTGAATGGCAGACTGATCGAATGTGTAGCCAAAGAACGTGAACAGTCCACCCAAAGTAAGGGCCCAGAAGGAATGGCGGATACGGGGATCAGGGTCGAAGCTGCAGCCATCAAAGTGATGATGTGAGCAGGTGGGCTTGTAAAGTTGTAGTGGATGTTAACCGTGATATTCACGAGCACATTTTAACATACATTTCACTTTAGTAAGAATGTATTCACACAACTATGGTATTACATGCATCCCTATCGGGGCCCGTGCAAATCCGGGGTAGAATTGGTCTTCAGCAGCCCACGCTTGCCACAAAAGGCGACTATGCTTGTCGTAATAGGCGACTAACGGGATCGGGTGGTCAGGCTCGCTGAATTGGTTGACACATGTCATCGGTTCCCAATTGTGCAGATCGATGCTCATGCTGTTGATCACTGGATGGTCTGGTCCAGACTCGATTATTCACAGACCGCCGCCATATAGCTGGAATATTGCTGAGTGCAGCGTAAAACTAAACTCACTCACTCACTCACTCACTAACCATTTGTCTGTTTGCTTTGAATACACAATGAGTTTTACAAAAAATACCAAATGTAACAGATTCTTTTAGTTTTTTTGTTAGCATGCAAGCCCAAATATACGTTACATATGGCCACTCTTTAATAGGTTTTGTGCAGTGATTGCTTTCGGCCGTGGGTGCCGTGCCAATTTACACAAAGTGCATGGTCCGGACTGCCTGTTACATGACTACCATATTTTTATGGGTTAGATCGCTGAATTTGTGTAGTGGCAGTCAGGTGCATATGTTACATTTGACCTCTTTCCAAAAGGCGTTTTGCATTCTTTCCATAATTCTTGTAAATGTCTACTAAAAACAATTTTAGCTGATACGATTCCGAACACATCGAAAGCTTGTGTTAATGAGCCACCATCAAGTGATGACACCACTGGTTCTCAAGAGGTTAAGTGTAGCCTTACTCGACAGGTGGAATTCTGCCTCCTTCCTTCGCCAAGGTCCATGTTGTGTCCAGACCTCCAACTTCATGAACACCCTGCGAACATGATCATCACAAACGACACTTCATTAATATTGTGAAATCGCAGACCTTGATGTGTTATTGTGACATTTCCCAATCTTTTCATATATAAGTAGCAAATATCAATAACTATGTTCCCAGTCGAAGTATAGGTGCTGAATTGAATTTGGATTTGCTCTGCAAAGTTTAAAGATTACCTTCGAAATTTAGTTGCGTCCAATCTTGTACATGTATTTTATTTGTCCTTACATTTGTGCCAAATCATGATGACTCACCATTCCAAAAGACGGTGCATATATATATCAAGATAGCGTTACAAAGGATGGCTTATATACCTGTCAAAAGGACTTGCAATTTTAAGGAAGGTGATGCTTTACCAATCAAGATGACCTGTCTTTACAAGGACTTTGAATATGCTTATGAAAACTCACCGCTTTTATAGGGACGTTGAATATAGAATGAGTGACTGAGTGAGTGAGTTTAGTTTTACGCCGCACTCAGCAATATCCCAGCTATATGGCGGCGGTCTGTAAATAATCGAGTCTGGACCAGACAATCCAGTGATCAACAGCATGAGCATCGATCTGCACAATTGGGAACCGATGACATGTGTCAACCAATTCAGCGAGCCTGACCACCCGATCCCGTTAGTCGCCTCTTACGACAAGCATGGGTTGCTGAAGATCAATATTCTAACCCGGACCTTCACGGGTCTTGAATATAGAAATCAAGACGACTCACCACTGAATATACCAATCAAAACTACTCACCTTCACGAGAACGAAGAATATACCAAACATGATGATGGCCGCCTGAAAGACATCAACGAGGACCACCCCTCGGATGCCGCCCTGTGTACATAGATATATAGCACATTGTATATCATCTATGAAGCTCTGACGATGAAAGCAGGTTGGTAAACAACGTGCTTTATGTCAATAGCATAGCATATTTTGTGTATTAACAAGCGACATGTGTTCATGTCTTGCACTGATGGACACCTAAAATTTGTAAGACGAACTGCAAAGAAAAGTAACAGCAACAATATCTTTGAAAGAAATTGTTACCTTTGTCGCGATGTCAAAGGAAATATAACTAGGCAAACATTTGTTTTCATTTGGTCTCAGACAACAGTCAAATGTCAATGAACGTTTCAAACTTGACGTGAAATATGTTTCTCTGTTTAACTGTAAAAAACAATAACCTCATATACAGTAACCAGCAGACAATATACGACTTTTCACAGACGTAGTTTCAAAATTTATTTACTGATAAATTCATTTATAATTTTCATACATCCACTCTGGATACTGAAGTTTACATTTATGCAAGTCAATAGTCTGTTAGTCCACCGTTTCTCTCGATGCACTGCTGAATACGGCGTCCCATGCTGTCAATCAAATTGTCTAAGTAGTCCTGGGGTAGGTCCACCCATATTTGACTGATGAGATTAGATCACTCAACGACACTCTTCGTTTCCAACTTTTCTAATTTATCCTTCATATTCTGCCACACATTTTCAATTGGGTTCAGGTCTGGTGATGCCGCTGGAAATTTCTGTAAGGTCACGTGACTCGTTTCAAACCAGTTACAGGTGTGTCTTGACTTGTGTACAGGTGCATTGTCCTGTAAAAGTTTGTATTCCACTCTGTCCTATAGGGGATTCCACCACCTTCTTGTATCTGTCCTATATGGGATTCCACTCCCACATGGGCACAATACCTTCTTGTATTGCTGGAATATTGCTGACAGTCAGTCAGTCTTGTATAAGTTGACAGTACTTGCGTGAATCCATCCTTCCTGTAATAGTTAGCAGCGGCGTTACCACGAGTTTGCCTATACCACCCCAAACCATGAAAGTGGGTGAGAACTTCGGAACCATTTTGCAGCTACGTCCACCTCTTGACCACCTCTTTCTTGTGATCCTATAAAACTGAAACTTTGATTCGTCCGTAAAAATCACATTTGAAAAGTCTGCACCCTGCATTTCCCTGCACCACTCGAGCCTTTTCTCCATGTGTGCTGTTGTCATCAATGGAACTTTCTTCGGCACTCGCTTGACATATCCAGATTGCTTTAAAGATCTTCTGATTGTCCATTCTGATACCTTAGGGATTCCTTGACTTGACGCCTTCACAGCAAGCTGTCTTGCAGACCAGTTTGGGTACGCCGCCGCGAGACGCGCGATACGTCGTCTGTCATTTGCCCCAAGAGTAGCACGACGTCCCGATCCAGCCTGTCGCTCTGTCCCTAACCCTGCGTCAAATTTCTTCAAATTTCGGTAACAGAGGCCTGATGCAGTCCCGTCAGTTTCACAAGTCTAGTTACGGATGTAATACCTGCTTCATAATATGCCAAGAGTCGATTTCTGTTGTTTTGTTACGTCATGGCAAAGCTTCGGTATCGTTTGCTAGCAACGAGGTCATGTGATCAAACCATCCCTGAACGCAAGGGAGATAGTTCCTTACCAACGAGGCAAGCTGCTGGCGGCTAGAAACAAAGTATTTCGGCTTTTTTGATAGTAGGATCGAGTCTACAGAATATAGGTTTTTGTCGCATTCTGCTCGTTACTATATATGCATCAGTAATTACATCAATCAATTCAGTGAACCTGGCCACTGATAATCTCCTTTTACGACAAAATCTGACGAATTCTTCATTACTCCACGAAACGGCAGGTTCCATGGTGACTCTACATAGCACGGTTTCTTGTCATAGTAATAAGACCACTGATCACATATATTGTCTCATCACCGGTGACGATCCGGGTTAGAATTGACCTTTAGGAACCCATGCTTGGCATAAGAGGCCATTAACGGGATCGGGTGGTCAAGCTATCTGACTTGGTTGACACATGTCATCGTATCCCAGGCTGTTGATCACTAGATTGTCTGGTCCAGACTCGATTATTTACAGACGGCCGTCATAAAGCCGGAATATTGTTGAGTGCGGCGTAAAACTAAACTCACTCACTCACTCATCGATGCAAACTTACCATTGACGTGTACACGATTCCAACTAATCCCACAATGACGACCGACACCCAAAATGGTAAACCTGTAGCTGTGAACACAAGCAACAGGTCAGTTTCCTGTTCATAAATTTGAAATTCCTATTACATAGGACACCATTAGGTTATATTTCAAATAACTAGAAAAGAATATTGTCATGTGATTCCTCTTTATGCAGACATGACTTTTCTTACTTAGATCCATTTATTTCAGTCAATGTTTTTAGTCGGTATTTCAAAATCAGTTGCAGAAAACATAAATTTCTCGTATCGTCTCTCTTATACAACATCATGCATGGGAACCAGTTGGCCAATGTTCGCGCGAGATTCACTCACTAACTTATGAAAAACTAAATATGGCATGGAATCGGCTCGTGGGTTTTAAATCTAGCTGTATGCATAAATAAAGTAATTATAGAGAGCAGGAAAAGGACTGCACCCATTTTGAATGTGAATAAATGCGATAAAACTATTATCGGAATCATAAGAAATCTCCCACGAATCCATTATACGAGTCCAACTCTGTTTTATGAATCACTTCTTCTTCTTCTTCATTTATTTCAGTAATAAGGCCTCAGGCCCACGTACATATTAAATGAAAATATTTACAAATGGTGCTGCATTTACTGAATCACTGAGTACACGGGAAGTATGAAACGTTCACGTCAATAAAGTATGTTTGCTTCAGTTCAGGCTCATTCAAGAGTTGTAGCTCAACCATACCCCTTTGTCCACGAGTCAATATAGCTAGGAGAAGGACGTTAGTACAAAATGCTTTATCTTGGTAAACGCTGTTCATAGAGGTGTTGACTGATACCAAGGGCCATATTGGAACGCAGGTGCAAGTTGCTTACCTGTTTGAATTGATAATGCAGGTGACAGCAAAACTACGGCGGTGAAAACGATCTAGAAATATACACAGGTGATATATATAACAGACTATATATGGTTGGTTCGGCAAGTAAACAAACGATACAAACACAAAATACATATCTTGTGGTGTCAAATTACTATTACCTTATAGCGCCTCACAGGCAGCCTGGGTTATCCGGGGTAATAATGTTTGCCATATTGTAGAGGCGGTGGGGTAGCCTAGTAGTTAAAGCGTTGGCTCGTCACGCCGAAGACCCGGGTTCGAATCCCCACATGGGTACAATGTGTGAAGCCCATTTCTGGTGTTCCCCCGCCGTGATGTAGCTGGAATATTGCTAAAAGCGGCGTAAAACCAAACTCAATCAGTCAGTCATCATGTTGTATGCGCTTAGAGCATGTCCAGCGCTGTATAAGTGACCAATTATTAATATAATTATTTTTGCCGTCTTGGAGTGATTATGTGGGGTTTAATGTCACATAGAATATGATTCTAGTTCACTCATCAAGTTTAATCCCCTTTGGTTATTGGGACGATAGGGACGAACCAGGATTCGAATCAAATGCCTCTGTGATGCACCTCATAGCAGCTCTTTGAATGACTTGACCACCCGTCATAACTTGTAGTTTGAAAGGGGAATTTTCAAAAATAAATAACTACATAACATGGGCATAAGTCACGTACCACTCACGTTTTATATGATACGAAAACATTTCCTGTTGCATATGATGTGCAAAAGCAATTTCACCCGTGAAGATCCGGGCCAGAATGGGTCTTCTGCAACCAGGCTTGTCGTAAGAGGCAATTAACTTACACTTAGAATTGTGCATTACATTTGCTGTCAGAACAAATCAAAGCAATGAAAAATGTTGATGCGTTAATCCCCACGGAAACGTACGCCCTGATGGTCAGACTGAATGGTGTTTGAAGAGCAAACATGTTGTTTATGAACACATCCGTGAAGATCCGGGTTAGAACTGTTCTTCTAACAAGCACACTTGTCGTAAGAGGCCACAACGGGATCAGGTGGTCAGGCACGCTGACGTGGTTGACATATGTCATCGTATCCAAGTTGTGTAGATCGATGCTCATGCCGTTGATCACTAGATTGTCTTGTTCAGACTCGGTCTATTTACAGACCGCCGCCATATAGCTGGAATATTGCTGAGTGCGGCGTTAAACAACAAACAAACCAAAGAGAAACAGATTACAGTCATTCGAAACGCAAGCCACATGATTACTGAGTCATCACCAAAGGGTTCAGCTTCATGGATAATCTCCTGGATTTATGCCTCGTTACGACGTCCTCATACACAGCAACGGCCGTCGGTAATGTGTAAAAGACAGCAACTTTCATCCGACCAACCATCTCATTATAGGATAGGATATTTATATAGCGCACATATCCAGGCAACTAGTGCATGCTCAAGGCGCTGGTATTTTTCCCTCGAAC